GGGGGGGTCAGGGGGGGCGGGGGGGGGGGGGGGGCAGGCAGCACCTGCACCTCCAGGTCCAACCCAGGATTGGGGCCAGAGCTGCAGCAGTTGCCTGGCCTCTGCTGGCTTGTATTAGATTCTAAGAGAAGGGGCTTTTCCCTCACGTTAAATGGGTGGGAAAAAAACTCATCTTTTAATCGAATAGACACAGTATTAATTAATATAAAGTATTAACACCATGCAGTTCATAAACCTCATGCAACATGTTACTGCTTCAAGGGAAGCTATTTATAAACTGGGGAGTATCATTATCAAACACCTTCGGTAATTACCCTTTTAATATCCTCAGCACAGATGGGAGAGAATCCACTCTTTACCTCATGCAGCTTATTCAGATCTGGCCCTGGAAAGAGAAGAGAAAAGCTTGATTTTGTACAGTCTATCCTGCCCCTGGGGCCAGTTAGGGCCTTGGGCACATGTGTAAACTCCCAGTGATGTCCTCTCAGGTCAGGCAGGAAGATCCAGGGCAATGCATGACTCATCACACGGGAATGAGGACAGTTTGCTGAATAAAATCTGGGTAGAAACCTTGAGCTTTGACTCAAAGGCATCATATTAAGGTCAAAATACTAGCTATAGATGGGATTCACCTATACACTCTGGCTTCTTTATGCTGCTCCAACCATTATGGCAGTTTTGTCATCGCTCTGCAAGCAGCCAACAAGTAAGCGAGCTCATGAATCTGCTCCTAGATTACAGCATATTTATGATTACCCATCCGAAGAACTAGTGTCACAGCTCCCTCTGGGGCTTCTGCTAAAATATATTCTGAAGCTGTAGAATATGGCAGGGACCAACCAGCTGAAGGAGAGCCTGAACCACAGGTAGCAGATATTAATGACATTGCTTAATGCACCCTAGGAAGATACTCAGAACCCAAACGGACAAGGAAGGTGAAAAAAATCCTTCTACAGACTAGAATAGTAGGGCTGTGCAGAGCTTCGGGCCCTGATTCGATTCAGCAGAGATTCAGCCTGATTCAGTGGCCAAACCTCCGAATCTGAATTGAATCAGAGGAGACTTTAATCTCTGAATTGAATCTGAACCCTCTGAATCAATTCAGAGAGATTCGAAAAGATTTGGAGATTTGGACATAGAGACAGCTTTAAATGTTTTTTCTACATACCTTTAGGTAGCAGGGGCTCGTGAGTGCTGTGGTGCTGGGATGCATGGTCAGCAGCAGACTCAGTGCCTCCTGTGTTGGGCGTGGGGGGGTGGGCAGCCAGGGTCCCCCTGCAGCCCATTGCCAAGCTGGGGAGGCACAGGGGGATCCCCCAGCACACTCCCCAGCAGACCTGGAAGTGGACCAATAGTTCTTCCGGTCCACTTCTGGGTTCGCTGCCAAGTACGCGGAGAGCCCCTCGCACTCCTGTGGGACGCTCCATCCACCTCAGCATTGCAACGTACTGCCTGCTACCTTGAGGTATGTAGAAAAAACATTTAAAGCTGTGTCTATGTCCAAATGGCTGAATCTCCGAATCAGCATCTAATCTTCAGATTCGGATTTGGCCGGATCGAATCAGGAACAGTGATCCGAATCAACAAATGGAATCACTGTCCCTGATTCAGGCCGAATCCGAATCGAATAGGGCCTGCTTCGAATAGGGCCTCTATAGAATAATGCTAGGTATCTGATAACTGTTTACTAGTCTGTATAAAAGGGATCATCTCAGTTGAGTTCCTACAGGCAAATATCTGCCTCAGGTTCACATCCTTTCTAACTGTGGCTGCAGCAGTGCCTACCCACCCACCTGCCTGGTGCACCATGGCACTTTCCCTCCCTACCAGACTGTGCCCCCTGCCCCTGTGATTCCAGGACTCTCATTTTAAGTTTCACTAACTGTCCAGGACCGGCCTTTGAAACCCATCTCAGCCAAACCAGGATGTATGGTCATCCTACTTCTAGGGCCCGATGGAGCACACTGGTGGTGTGGTATATGTGGGAAAAATGAGCCAGCCCCTGCCTATGCAGTTTTTGCCAGATGATTAATTAAGAAACCCATCCCTCTGGCACATTTGATCAGCAAACAGACCACTAATATTTTAAAGAAATTAAATGGAAACATTACTAAAACATCAGTTTGATCATTAATCATCATCTTCAAGACATTCTATAGACACTAACTAACTAGCTCCTGTCCTCATCTCACCACACTGTTCAAAACATGATTAATGTAGTAGTACTATGCTTGATGTCTGAATGACCTGCTTTACTGTGTCTTGGGAAGAACTTGAGCAGGGCATACAGAGCATTATTGGTATTGGTAGTGGATCACTTGTACAGTGGTGCTTCTCAAATTGGACTCTTGTCTGGTCTCAGGGGAAAGGACAAGTACTTTCAGATCAGTATCTACACTTATACAATAAGCTCTTTGGGGCAGGGACCATCTTTTTGTGCTGTGCACAGCACCTAGCACAAAAGGCCTCTAGTTCCATGACTGAGACTCCTGGGTGCTATCACAATACAGATTTGCTGAAAATGTATTAAACCCCCTTGCAGTTGTACCTTGGCACATAAATTAACTAATGAAGCTGTTCTACAAACCCAAGGAGCTCTTGTAGTTTTCCAGATGCTCTAACAACATGTCCATGGACATGCGCTCTATGTCAAGATGAAGCAAGTTAGCTGCTATTACTTCCCATAGCTTCAGTGGTATGGAATCTGGTCTTTGAGCTTGGTGTCCTTTGCAGATCTAAGGGAAACATGAACAAAAGGAAGCTGCCACTTATTATTGCAATGAAACCTGATTTTACACAATAAAAAAAAAAAACCTCAGAACAATGCAGATCATTTATAACAAAGTTATGAGATTTAAAAATAGGTCAGAAAGCTGATCTGGCAGGAATTAAGGAAAGAAGGGTAAACTATAGTATAATGTAAACATAGGCTAAGTTCTGGTCTTAGTTAAGTTGACATAAAACAGAAATAGAAATTGCCATCAGGTTTAGTAGTGCAGAATTGGATCTTCCCTAAATTTCTCCTGCATGGGGAATGTGATAGGATACTCTGCATCTTGCTAGCTACCCAAAACCATTGTGCAGCATTACTAGGTATTGTTAAACAGCTGATATGATTGATGCCACGGTGAGATTTTCATTGACAACTTCATAGAATATTTCTTAGAGAACTGACCTATTATTATAACCTATTGCTTGTACTTTAACTCTCCTAACTTCCTAAACAATCTCCTCATATTGCTGTTTGGGCATTTCCAATAAAACAGTGGTTCTAAACCAGGGGTACACATACCCCTAGGGGTACTTAAAACGCTCATAGGGGGTACGCAGAATACCGCATGTGCGCGTGCAGCTGCAGCACAGGATGTGGGCGGCCAGGACGCAGCTCAGCCAAGTGAAGAACAGCCAGGTCCAGCGCGTAAGTTTGTTGTGGGGGGAGCACTGCCCAATAGGGGCAGGGTGCAGGACTGAACCATGCGGGCGGGTGGCTCCTACTGCTACACACACCCTGGGAGAATATGGGGGGCATATGCCCCCAGATCTGCACTTGGGGTGAGGCAGGCTGGGGTCAGGGCTGGGCCGTGCTGCACTCAGGACACGTGGTGGGAGAGGGTTTGGAGGGGTTACCGTGAATTTTGGGGTGGCTGCAGCCCCGCCCCCATAGCCCCCTTCCCAGTGTCACCACCGCCTGCCCTGAGCACAGCCCAGCCCAGCCCAGCTCCACCCTCCCTGTGCTGGGAAGAGCCTGGCACAGCCTTGGCCCCAGCCTACCCATGACCTGCACACAGACCTGGGGGCACATGCCCCCCATGTGCCCAGAAGGGGTACACTAGTTAAAAAATGTTGAAAATCACTGCAGTAGAATATTGATTTGATGCCATGTGACACAGACGTATCCAGTATTACTCCCTGCCTGAGGTATTGCTGATACTCAAATAATTGTCCTATTTTTCTACCCGGTCATATGGATTGTGCCAGTGGTGCTACAGATTGAGGATTTCAATTACTGTTTATTCCTCTGCAAGTGCTGCAAAAAACCTCCTCTATTTACTTAAACATGCATAGATCCAATGGATCCCTTCTCATATTGCAAAGGTGGGCAATTATTTGAGTCCAGAGGCCACATAGGGAGTTTTCATGAGTTGTTAGAGGCGGGATCAGCACCCCCTCCACCCCGCACCAACTCATCAAAACTCCCTATGTGGGATGGGACTGCAGGCAGGCAGGAAGCAGGATTTGGAAGGAGGACAGGTGGCTGAAGATGGGATCACGGGGTGGGGTCACAGGGCAGTGACAGCACAGGGCCAGGGCCTGGGGCAGAGCCACGATCTGCTGTCCATGTGCCCCTGCAACAGGTGTGGATTCTGCAGGCAGAGATCCACAGTGAGTGGACTGTGGCTCTGTCCCAGCCCTGGCCCCACCCCCATGCTGTAAACCCCACCCACAACCCCGAGATCCTGGCTGGAGGCAGCTTCCTGCTCAGCTGCATGTTCTGCCTGCGTGACCCCAGCTTGTCTCCATGGGGACCCCTGGATCATGGGGCGGGGTCAGCATGGAGCTAGGGCTAGGGCCAAGGCAGAGCTGCAGTTCTGTGGGCAGGGGCATGAGGGCCCGGGGCTTGGGGCAGAGCTGCAATCTATGATCTGCGATCTATGATCTGCTCCCCGCATGCCCCTGCCTTGTGCGGGGATGTGGGAATTGTGGGGTGTGCAGGAGTGTGGGGGGTCATGTGTACATGTGTTGGGGGGTGCCCCCTGGGTACTAGGCTCCAGGAGCTAGCCGGGGTGAAGAGAGGAAGGAGGGGGCAAGGGGCATATGCAGTAGAGCTCACGCAGGTGGTGCAGTACCCCACAGCATTCTGCGTGGGGCCAAGCCCTGCCCACTCCCAACCAGGTCAGCCTACACACAGCTTACTGGTGAGGCTGCTCGCAGTGCAGCTCCAACCACCCAGGTGCTGTTCAGCTTCCCTCACTTCCAGCAGTGTATCCTCCCTCCTGCTCTTGCCCCTGCTGCACCACTGGGGTGGAGGGGAAGCTTCAGTTGGGTGGCTCCTGGCCCAGCACATGGGGCTCTGGCTTCAGCTACTGGCTGTCTTCCACCCACTCAGCTGACCGCAGGTGGCTGCTCATTGCACCAGGTAGACTGAGTGGGTGGAAGACAACCGGGAGCTGGAGCCAGAGCCCCCCAAGCTGGGGCAGGCATCACCCAGCTGAAGCTTCCTCCACACCCAGAGCAGCACAACAGGGACAGAAGGAGGAGGAGGAGCCACTGCTGGAGGCAAGGGGAGCCAAGCAGCACCCGGATGGTTGCAGCCACACTGGGAGCAGACCCGCCGGTAAGCTGTGTGCGCTGACCAGAACTAGGGTACGTGGGCACAGGCAGAAACACAGCACTGGCTGTCCTGGGCAGGGCTAAGCCCCATGCAGAGCACCGTGGGAGCAGCCACAAGCTGAATCCAATCAATTGGTGGCCAAGCCCACAGTCTGGATCCAACCCTCGGGCCATATTTTGCCCACCCCTGTCATTTTGGTAACTTGGTCTACTTTCTCGAAGCATTTATGTCCTACTAGAATATCGCCAGAGTCTTAGCTCCTCCAAATTCTAGGCCCATGTTTTGACATAGTGCCTCCAGGCCATATATTTGGGCAGCTAAGTACAGAGGTGCCTTGGCAAAGTGTACTTCCAAGTTTCATAGTTTCTAGGGTCGGAAGGGACCTTAGCAGATCATCTAGTCCGCCCCCCTGCCATGGCAGGAAAGAGTACTGGGGTCAAACGACCCCAGCAAGGTGTTCATCTAACCTCCTCTTAAAA